ACCATCCCTGGAAGTATTTAAAAGGGAAGTAGATGTGGCACTCAGGTACATGGTTTAGTGGTGGACTTGCCAGTACTAGATTAATGATTGGATTCAATGATCTCAGAGGCCTTTTCTAAATCAAATGTTTCTATCCATGATTCTGGTTCAGCTTTGGATCCACCAGTATCCCAGATCTTTTCTGTAGAACTTCTGCCCAGTTCTCTGTCCTGTGTCCGTGGCTGTCCATTTCTGCTCTGCACTCCCGAGCATGACATCAGAGCACCGATATGGAGCACATCATCATCTCAGCATTCCCTGGCATTTGCCAGCAGCAGAAGCCTACAATAGAGCAGAGGACCAGGGCCAGGATAAGGCAGCACTTCCCCTATTCACTCTTTCAGTTTCTAGTAATATGTGGCTCAGAGCTTGTTTGAATGTTATGCTGCATCTTTGTGTTCAAAGGCCTTTGGTAGGTTTTCCTTTTAGCAAATGTTTGACTGCTCATTGGCCTGCTGGCCTTGTCCAAACACTTGTTTCAAGATCACTCCTTAATTCCACCTCTAATATCTGGTACACTTGTGGTCCTCCCAAAGTATTGTTACTGCCACTTTAATGAATGCACCCTCTATTCCATCATTCAGCACATCAGTAAGACACACTGGCAGCAGACCCAAGGATCAGGTGCAGGCCTTTCTACCACAGCCCTTTCAGTCACATGGATATTTATAAGATTAGTAAGTATAAAATATCAGGTGGGGAGCACCTTGCTTCATAGTTCTTAACTTGGGAATCGCAGTCCTGTTTTTCCTAAAAATGCAGCAGTTGCAGTGCCAGCTGGCAGCCTCACACCCCCCAGGGCAGGGTTTGGGTGAGCTGGCCTGGTGCAAGCAGTGCCACAGATAAAAGAGGTTTGTGGCTGCGCAGTGACCTGTGTGTCTGTTTGCAAAAGTGCAGCAGCCAGTGAGAGAAACTGCTCTCAGGGTCCTGAATGCAGCAGGGGGAACTGTAAATACTTAAAATGCCAAGGTAAGAGCACCTGCATTTATTCTGAGTTGCAAGAGGGCTTGTTGCTCAACCGAAGACCTTCCTTCTATTCTAAAAAATGATGCCTTTGTCTGGGATACCTTCATCTATCTAGTCCAGTCTAATATGGTTTATTATTAGTGAATAGATCTGAGCTGATAAGCTACACTAATGATCAAAGCTCAACTCTTTCAAATACTAATCTTGGGATCTGGAATTCTGGCTTAGTACACTGCCAATGTAAATCTAAATTATGAATTTTGGCTTGAGATCCAAAATAGTGGAAGGATTGCCAAACACTGGAAGACTGACTATATTCATAACATAAACTCACCTGAAAGAATCAAACTGATGGTCTGGCTTTGTAAGATCAATTCCCAATTAATAAGAAGGGGTAACAAATAGTGATCAAATCTTTATTGCCTGGAAATGCCCCGGGGAAAGAACTTGAAAGAAACCATTTAAAAGCTACTGTTTCCATCTGTATGTGTTGAAAGAGGGGCTACAAAGTCACAGCTCTTTGTTTCAGTCCTAAATTCCAGAGAGATCTGTGAGGACATGAGCTGATCACGTGCATCCTTGCATCCTCTCTCCCAAAGCCATTGCGCTGGGAGATGCACTGGGGAAGGGGGCACTGGGCACAGACTGTCCTGCCAGCCTCTCTGCAGTTCCAGGGATTGCTCAGTCCTTTCATCTTCATTGGTCCAGTTTCTTTCTACCTTTCTATCTTTCAGCAGATATAGATATATATACACCCACAAACACTTAGGATCCTCTCCCCCACACCAGCGAATGATGTAAAACACCACCACTATTACGTGACTTTCACAGCCTTTTACAAAGGTTAGAACACACTGGTGCCATCCCTTATGTTATAGCCCAGTATCACCTCTCTTCCTCCAGCCTCACCTCTGCTTTATTTCCACTGATTGCACCCTGAAGGAGACTTAGCTGAAGGCAGGATCTCCTCCCTTTTCTTACAGCTCAGTGTGAGTTGCCACAATGGGCTGCAAATGTACTGTTTATTTAGGGAAAGAATGATGTGGTATCAGCTGTCATCTGGCACTTTAATCCAAGACACAATTAGTTGAGCACAGCCATATCCAGATGCTAACACTTGATGGAAGCAATAGCGCAGTAATTCACAACTCTCTGAGGTGTGGCTTTCCATGGGAAAGGCTTCTTGTGAGACTCTGCAGATGCCCTGCCGAGAAAATCTTCCTCAGATACTATTACAAGACTCGTCTATAAAACCACAGGATTTCCATCACTCCTTCGGGATTTACACAACACCAAAGATGAGGTGCACTATCAGGAAAACCTGTCAAATCATTTTTGTTGTCAACTGGCAACTAAAAAGGTGGAGGGAGGGAGGGAGGGAGGGAGGGAGGGACCACATTTTCAACCTATCAGTCTGAAATGTGAATCCAACTCTGGCTGGATGTGAGAAGTGCTTGAAGAGACTGCCTGGACAGAAAGCAGGTGAGGAACACTAAGGTTTTCTCAAATGTCACTGGTTTCTGAAAAAAAAGGAAAAAGAAATATTTTCAAATCTATTCACAAAGTATCAGCACGTGACATAATTCTCTGTTTATAAGGATCACAGGAAAATTTCAGCACTGGTACCTCAGTGAAGCCTATGCCAATTAAAACACTGCTAACTTCAGCTTGATACTGATTTAACTTAACTCCACATCAAACTGGTGTTCACATAGGAGCCTTGACCCATTTAACAGACACATTTTTAAATGTCACCTCAGATTTTACACCTGCAACTCTTAATACAGACCTACAGGCAAGGCAAAGCAACCTGAAGGTCCATCTACCTTCACACTGTGCTAAAGGCTTTCTACCCTGACTTCAGCAAATTGAGTCAACTGATGAATTTGTAAGAGGTTTCCAGACTACTGCAGAAATATCCATTTTTCTAGAAGTCTCTTGAAAATAAAATTGAAGCACACCTACTAACTGGATGTTTTTAGCTGCATATTACACTACGTAGAAGGAGCCAAATGTTCCCCTGTCACTCAACACACTGCTAAAGATGTAAGTTGCTCTTTTTCTACTGTGGTTTGTAAAAGGAGGGGCTATCTTTTATCAGGCCAGCTGCCACTGAGGAAAAAAAAAGAATAAGCTTTTGTGTAGAAGCCCCTTCTTCAGGACTGAAGTAGCAGCAGTAGTCTTGAAGGTGAAAATCAGCAGAGAATGACTTATAAATTTAATTAGATTATGTAAGCAGCTAGACCATCTGACAAAAAAAAAAAAAAAAGGGCACTGATATCTGGAGCAAAGGAAGGAAAAACAGGGAAGGAGAAGATAAAAAGGGAGCTCTACCGGCACACACAAAGAAAGCAATGAACAATTTACTGCCTAAGGAAGGTGAGGGACAGGGAATTGTGTCCTGTGCCCTGATGTCTCTGCCAAGTCCAGGATCATTAGCAGCATTAAGCGTTTCAGGTCCCACGATGTCTTTTGAAGGTATTTTACCAATGTCTCTTAAGGATCAGAGTTCAAGTGAGGTCTAGATTTGTTTCAGCCGTGACAAGTTGCTGCAGAAAAGTGTGTCCGAAGTGGGAAAAGAGGTCTAGGCATAACTGTTCTTCCATCTTTCATCTCGACCCTGACTACTGGGCTAAATCTCACTTATCCTTAGAAAAATAAGAAAAATATACCCAGGTATTAATAACAAGAAGAGTCCAACAACTTCCTAATTATTTCCCTATTTTGAAAACTTATTTGGAGGAGGTGCAGCACCCAGTAGAGCAAATGTCTGTCCAGGTACACCCAGTAGGGCAAATGACTTTCTGTCCCCGTGTCACAGCCTTGCAAGGTCCAGAGACCCTCAGCAGCGTGTGGGGATCACGGCGAGGAGGCAGCAGCTGGAAGTGGCCAGGACAGCTCACACACACACACATCTATCAGGCTGCCCATGGAGGGGACACTGCAGCTGTGGTGGGACACAGGCAGCAGTGTTTCCCCGGGGTTCTTGGGAAAAGCTGGGAGCACTTCTCCTTGGAAGGAAAGTCAGCGTGTGGATTTATGAGGCTGCCTGTGTTAAATGGGAGGCTACTTTGGAAAATGTGGGTGCAAAGATGCTTCCTAGCACAACACAAGGAAAAGAGAGTGGATATACATGATTGCCCCCCTGAAAAAAAATTGAGGAAAAAGAAAGGATGCATCCATGTGCCCAAAAGCTGTACCATCTTGCACCAACTGGCGTCTCAGCTTGGTGACTGAGTAATGAGAAAGGAGCCAGTGATCATACATCCCAGACACCTCATCAGAAGTTAGACAAAAAGAAAAGTGTTACTGAGAGCTTAAAAGATTAGAAGAGGAAAATTGGTGTTGAAACCCATGAAATGTAACCAAAGGCGATGATGGAGAGGCACTAGCCCCACTCTGTCACGGGGCAGGACTGGTTACTCTCCAGAGGTCCCTGCCTGCCATGACCCGCTCTGAAGGATGAAACCTTGTTCCCCGTTTCGCAAGCTGAATCTGAGCGGTGCCCTGGCAGCCAGGAGGGCCAGCCCTGTCCTGGGGGGCATCAGGCACAGCATCACAGCCGGGCAAAGGCAGGCATTGTCCTGCTCTGCTCTGAGCTGGGGCGGCCTCACCTCCAGTGCTGGGGGCAGTTTGGAGCGCACAATGTAAGACAGACATGGAGCTACTACAGCATCCAAAGGAGGGCAATGACGTTGTGAAGGGCCCTGAGGGGGAGCCGTGTGAGGTCACTTGGTGTGTTCGTGATGGAGGAGACAGAGGGGAAGCCTCCGATCAGTCACAGCTCGCTGGGCCGGTGCCGGTGCCGGTGTCGGGGCCGGTGCCCGCTGTCCGTGCCGGTGCCGGTGCCGGTGCCCGCTGTCCGTGCCGGTGCCGGTGCCGGTGCCGGTGCTCGCTGTGGCGCTGCGGGAGCCCCGCGCTCGCGCCCCCGCCTCGCGGCGGTTCCGGGCGCGGCCGCGCGGGGGAGCCGCTGGCGGGGGGGCGGGGCGGCGCGCAGTGCGCGTGCGCGGTGACGCGCGGGGCCGTGCCCGCTATATGAGCCCCGGCAGGCGCTGACTCGGCCCTTTCCGCCCCGCTCCCGCCCCGCGCCCGGGTCGCTGCGCTGAGACCCCGCGCCCCCGCCGCCCCCCCGCCGTCGCCATGATCATCTACCGGGACTGCATCAGCCGTAAGGCCGCGGGGGGGCGAGCGGCGCGGCCGGGAGGGGCGACCGGGCCGGCGCTCGGAGCCGGGGGGGGGGAAGCGCGGCCCGGGCCCGGGCGCTGGGCCCGGCGGTTCCGCCGCGCATGTGCAGGGCCGGGCTGGGGCGGGGGGGCCGCGGGCCCGGGGGCGGGAGCGATGGGGGGAAAGCGGTGGGTGCCGAGAGGCCGAGGCTGACGCGCCTGGGTGTGTGTGTGTGTGTGTGTTTGTCTGTTCCCCGCAGAGGATGAGATGTTCTCGGACATCTACAAAATCCGGGAGGTGGCGGACGGCCTGTGCCTGGAAGTGGAGGGGAAGGTGAGTGCCCGCCCGCCCCGAAGGAGGGAGGGAGGGAGGAAGGGTTGCTGCGGTGACTCACGGCTGGTGGGGAATGAGGGTGGCGTCCCTGCGAGGACGGGAGGGAGAGAAGGGACGACCCACCTCGGCCCAGTGCTTGGTGCTGCCGTGGGTGGTGCCTGTGAGAGGTGGGTCAGCCCGGCTGGAGTATGATGGAGCTTGGGTTAGGAAGCGGGGAATCGTGCTTGGGAGTCATAGAATCTTAGAATGCTTTGGGTTGGAATGGACCTTGAAGATCATCTAGTTCCAACCTCCCTGCCATAGGCAAGGACACCTTCCACTAGACCAGGTTGCTCAAAGCCCCATCCAACCTGGCCTTGAATACTTCCAGAGATGGGGCATCCACAGGTTCTCTGGGCAACCTCTGCCAGTATCTCCCACGTAAAGAATTGCTTCCTAATATCTAATCTAAACCTATTGTCTTTCAATTTGAACCCATTCCCTCTTCTGTCACTGGGAAATTAGTGCTCAAGCTGCAGCCAGGTTCCTTGCACTGAACTGTGTCTCTGGAGTTGTGCCCTGCTGTCAGGTCATAGGTGTGTAAGAGCAGTAGCATTAAGGTTTTTTGCAGAGCCGTTAAGTTTTTTGATGTCTCTAAATCTAGATGGTCACCAGGACAGAGGGTCAAATTGATGACTCTCTAATTGGTGGCAATGCCTCTGCTGAAGGTCCTGAGGGAGATGGAACAGAAGCCACGGTCATAACTGGTGTTGACATAGTAATTAACCACCATCTTCAGGAGACCAGCTTCACAAAAGAATCCTACAAGAAGTACATCAAGGATTACATGAAAGCGTAAGTGTTGGTAGGCTTTTCCTTTCAGTTGGATTGCCATGGTTTTACGTGTTTGAGATTATAAAAATAGCATTGGATTTATTTCTAGTAGGTGTTAGTTCTAATACAGCTGTGAAACTGGCTTTGAACTTCAGTAATGTCTTAATGCTTGGCAGAACTGGAGCCCTAAAGAATGGCTGCTGGAATATCTATGTTTATCTTGGCTGAGGCAGAGGACCTGATCATGTGCTTTGGATCTTGTTTGTAACCTTGCTGTTTTCTTTTGTGTTTGTCCATGCGAAACCTCCATGTGGAAGGGACTGAGGTGGTAAAGAAAAGCTTCCAAAGCTTTTCTATTGTGATAATGTAAACAGCTAAAAAACGTGTGAATGGGTCTTTTTGCTAGTTTACAGTGTAATTTCTGTTGGTTGGTCTTCAGTGGGGTTAATACTGAAAGTGAAAAAGCTTTGTGACATGGATGGGTGATGCTCTTGGTGCTGTGGAAAGGGCTTGCTGATTTTTGCCTATCAGTAGCCTGGTCGTGAAATGACCTTGGTGGGAGTGGTAGGTAGTGTTCTGTGATTTCACTTGCAAAATTAAGTTAAAATTTGGGGGCTTTGAGAGGGAGTGGGGGAGGCAGCAAAATCCAAGTTTGACAGGTAGCTACTCTTTCTGCTGTGACATCCTGCTAGACAGTGAAGTTAAGCTAGAACATGTTTTCAGAGAATTTTCTTCTTTTTCCTTCCAGAATCAAAGCCAGACTTGAGGAACACAAGCCAGAGAGAGTAAAGCCTTTCATGACTGGGGCTGCAGAACAAATCAAACACATCCTTGCCAACTTCAAAAACTACCAGGTAAGTTGTGTCTTCTTACAGCAGTATTGATAAGCTGTGATTGATTCATCTGCTGAACAGCTTGTTGAGAATTTTGGGGGCTTTTGTTGTGAGGATGCTAACCTGACCTCTGAGAGTATTAGGGGCCCTGAGAGTCAGGGAGGAGAAACAGCCAGAGACTGTTAGCTGCTTGGGGATCTCATTTCAGCTGGTAATGCTTGTAGTTAGCTACGTTTGTTGTTATGGCGATTCAGGGACTGTGCAGTTATACTTGGAAGGCCTAACTAAAGGATCACTTTGGTCCTTACTGTCTCTTACTCTGTTCATAGCAGCATGGTAAAATCATTGAATCACAGAATGCTTTGGGTTTAAAAGCATCATTGAGTTCCAATCCTCAGCCATGGGCAGGGACACCTTCCACTAGACCAGGTTGCTCAGGGCTCCATCCAACCTGGCCTTGAACACTTCCAGGGGTGGGGCATCCACAGCTTCTCTGGGCAGCCTGTGCCAGTGTTTCACCACCACAGTAAATCTTAACTCTATCCTGTTTTGAGTTTCAAAGATGTTCCCTGTTGTCCTGTTGTGATGTGCTCCCATCAGAAGTCCCTCTCCAGAGTTCTCATAGCCCCCTTTAGGTACTGGAAGGTGCTGTAAGGTCTCCCTGGAGTGTCTAGGGGCGAACAGCTCCAGCTCTCTGTCTGTCCTTATAGGAGAGATGTTCTAGGCCTCTGACCACCTTAGTGGCCCACCTAGGCTTGGTCCAGCAGGTCCACATCCTTCTTGTGTTGGGATCCCAGCTCTGTAGCTAGATGCAGTGCTCCAGGTGAGGTCTCAGAAGAGCAGGGGAACAAAATCACCTCCCTTGACCTGCTGGCCACTCTTTTGTTACATTTGGGTTTCTGGGCTGCAGGCTCACAGTACTGGGTTACACGGAGTTACTTGTCATCCAACAACCCAAGTCTTTCTCCTCCTGAGAGCTGCTGTCAAGCCATTTTCAAGGGCAGCCTGTATTTGTGCTTGGGGTTGCCCATACCCAGGTGTAGGGCATTATACTTGGCCTGTTGAGCTTCACAAAGTTCCCATCGACCCACCTCTCCAGCCTGTCAAGGTCCCTCTGGATGGCATCCCTTTCTTCTGGTGTGTCAGCTGTGGTGGCACTAAGATGGACAGCCTGCAGAGAAGGAAAATCCCTGTGGCTGGTCAGGGAAACTGAGCTTGGTGATGTTGCCTTGTCTGTGTATTAAAAAAAAGGCATTTTCTTCTGGCATTAGCCAACTAAATGTCTTGGTGACATATTTCTCTGAAGTTCTTTGTAGGAGAGAACATGAATCCAGATGGAATGGTGGCTCTCCTTGATTTCCGTGAGGATGGTGTGACCCCGTATATGATTTTCTTTAAGGACGGCTTAGAAATCGAGAAATGTGTAAGTACTGAGCTGAAGTGGGTGAATGTGGCCAAGTACATGGTGAGCTCTTTCATCTCTTTTTTTTTCCTGTATCCCTGTTAAAGTTGAGCAGTAGCTGCCAGTTTGAAAACTTTAGATTCTGTGTAAGTACAGCCTGGTTGGTGCTTTCATATTATACAAAGTGCCTGAAACTTTCTTTGAGTACTATTAAGCTTTACTAAAAGGGGATGTAGTGTCAGTGCAGTGATTCATGGTGACTTAATGGCTAAGAAATGCAGAAGAGATGACCCTGCTGAGATATGTGTAATTGGGAATAGGTTTAAACCATTAGATTAAAGAGGAGGTCCTCTGAAATGGAGCACTTCTACTTTGGATCCCTTTTCTGGGGGTTAATTGTCAAGTACCTTGCATGGTCATGTTCCATCTTCTTTCACTTAATCTAGTGCCCTTATACAAGAACTATCAGTTTAAATATTGTCCTAAATTTGGGAACACATTAATGCTTGACCAGGTACTTACCCTGAGTTCAGGACAGCTTCCACCTACCTGAGTTCAGGACAGCTTCTGTAGTCTCCTAAACTATTCTATATTGGAATGTGGTTGCCACAAGACAATATTTGGATCCCAACACTTGTGGGTTTTTGGCTTGTTTGGAGACCTATGGAATTCACTGCAGTGTGGGATCACCAGTTGCTTTTCCCCCAGTCATTGTGGACTTCTGAAGTCTGTATATAGACAGCTAAATTTATCTGTAAAGCTTCTCACAGGCTTTCTGGTATGCAAGTCATGTAAAGATGAGCCAGATTCTGGTGTGGAGCAGTAGCCCAGTTAAAGGAATACTCTAATTGTCCAGACAGACACAGCACCTCCCACATCCTCCCTGATGGAGGGGGGAATGTCTCTCCTGGCCCTGGAACAGGTGAACACCTGGAAAGTACCTCCTGGGAGCAGAAGCTTCTGTGCATCCCCTCCATGGGGTCACACCTTTTGGATGTGTTGTTTGGGTAACTCCATCCACTTCAAGGTGGAGTGAAAGAACAGTAGCAGGGTGTTCCCATGTGCAGTAAAACCTGCTTCAGCTTCCTGGTGTTTTCAGAGACAGCAGGTACATTGTAAGCTCTGCTACTTATTTAGGATGTGCACCTTACTTGAGAGGAAATCTGAACCTTGGTGTGCCAGGCAGGAAGGGTGTGAATGAGTGTTCCACCTGGCTTGCTCAGCAGCTGGTGGGTGCCAGTTGCTCTGTACGATTGTAAAAATGATCAGCATCCTCTGATAGACCATGAGCACTTCTCCTGTTGCTCCCTGGTTTGCACTAAGATGCAAAAATAACTTCCTTGCGCTTTCTGCCTGCCTGACTGTGGCAGAGCAGATTGAATTAGGGAATACACAAACAAGTTACAGAAACTTGCTGTTACTGTTGTGACCTTCAACTAACTCTTGCTACTTTTGTTTCAGTAACAAATCAAACAGTATGGTTTTGGATCACTTGTCTTCATAGCTGGCTGCTGTTTTTTCTTCATCGGCACAACACCAGGAATCAGCAATGTCTAACAACTGGACTGATGTCATCTTGAGCTTTATTCACTTATTTTTGACCCTGATTTGGAGTGGAGGCATTGTTTTCAAAAACGAAAAAACATCTATCATGTAGGTTGTCTAAAATAAAACTCATTTAAACCCATTCTAGGTCATGTCTTTTGGTGTGATGTGTCTCTCAAGGTGACTTGAAGGAGAGGCTGCAGCATGGATTGGGTGCTGTCAGTAGTACAGCTGGTGCTAGTGCACTACAACTGGACTGTTTCCAGACAGATTTCACAGTTTGCCTGCAGCGCTGGAGTGCAAAAGGAGGTTAGGTCAATAAGGCAAAGTCCAAGAAATGTCATAATGGAGTGGACCACCTTCATGTTTTATGATTGTGCTGATGCTTATCTCTGGAAGAGATAAGAAATGTATAATAAAAACATCCCAGAATGGAGTATGTGCTACTGAAGCCGAGTGCTGGCTGAGCTGTTTTGTCAGACAAAAATACTTGAGCCTCTCTTGAGCTGTAGCCTGTCTCCAAGATCAAGGCATGAGGCCGAATGAAGTGAAATGGCTCAGTTTTCCAACACAGCCTGGCTGTGGTACTCTGTATTTGACAGCTGCTGGGGAGCATAGGAGCTAGAATTCAGTCAAGTTGCAAGACTTGGGTTTTTCTGTGCTTCACCTCTTGTAGAGAGACATTGGAATGGCCTAGACTTCCAAGACCTAGACTTCCTCCAAACCAGGTGAATGCCTGTATTTGAGAATTACCTGAGTGTTTTTAACTTAGGTTCCTGCTGTGTGCCTTGTTAGGGAATGCATCTGTTTGACAGACCTGGAGCAAACACTGTTGCTTCTCGGGTTCTCTGTTGAGATGCAACAGTAACAGGTTCCTTGCGCTTTCTGCCTGTCTGACCCCGTGGCAGTTCGGATTGAATAAAGGAACACAAATCCTTTCAGAGCCTCAACTGGAGCAAGGGGGTGTCTGTTGCTGCTGATTATTCCTGATCAGGGATGTTGCCTTGGACTGCTAATAATTAACTTTTTTTCTGCTGCAGTGATGGCAGAGGCATAGGAGGCTAAGTGCCTGAAAGGGGAGGGCATGGCCCACTTGCCAACTCTTATCTCCTTCAGAGTTTTCACATCTTTGTGGTCTTGTGTCAATTTTTGGCCCCTGATGCTGGAGGGTGGAGGTGGAGTTCTGCAGGGTGAGATAGATGTGGCAGCAGGCTGGGAGGAGTGAGAGACTGGAGGAGGGAGTGGAGTGTGCCCTAGTTATCTCTCAGGTTCCTGTCTGGTTAAATACACCCTATTTTACTTCTGTGGGAACTTCATTATATATATTTGGCGGGGGGTAGTTGTTTTGTTTTTTTTAAGGTGCTCTCAAAAAAGGATTTTGGGTCAGCTGAGGTGGATGAGGGACAATTTTGGTGTAACCTGCTTCACCCAGTGGGCCTGAAAAGGCAGGGAGGCAGGTTAAAAGCCTGGATAAAGTCACTGAGGCAACTCTTGCTTTTCTTGTAGAGGATGTGATTAATGGGGCCAGATGAGGATGTTATCTTCCCTTTCCTGTTGCATCTTAAAAATGGGAGCATTAAAGGAGAGCGAGAGGGAACGCTTAGTTGAGACTTTGACTTCTCAGTTGAATAAAGTCAGTGTGGGCAGGGCAGTGCTGGTATGGCTGTGCTGCCCCTCATAGCCCTGGCTCCCACTTCCTGTGAGTCAAAGTTTAAAACTCCATCATAGAGTTGATATGTGAGAGTGAAAATGACTCCTCCCCCTGCCTGGCTGGTCCTGCTGGGGCTGGGAGCCCTGGCCACCAGCCTGGAGCAAATTGCCACGTGGCACCTGTGTACAGATGCGGTGCTGCTTTGAAAAGCAGGTGCTTCAAAAGCACAATGAGCACAGCCTTGCTGCTTGGTTGAATGGCAAATTGTCATCCTCTCTGTGCTCCAGGCACATTGGGTATTTAATTGCTGTGTGCAAACATTCCTAACTAGGGAGTTTTGGGCTCCAAGCAGGTGTGCTTTTCTGCACAGCCTCTGGTGGGAAGGCTCCTTTTAGCCCCCTGTAAGAAAGTGTCACTTCAAAGGCTCTGGAGATGCAGGTTTTTGTTTGCTTCTTCAGTGAGCTGCAAGAGAAGTGTTCTTGCTGCACTCACTGCATTTCTCAAAAATGCATTCCTGCCTTCAGTTTCTCAGGGAAGAGGGTAAGTTTTGCTGCTTTGCAGCATTAAGTCTGTCAGGTGCACCAGGGAGGGTGTGGCAGGGAAGGACTGCGGCAGTGACAAGTGCTTGTCGCAGCTGCACTGCTGTGGTAGCTGCCTGCTGTGGAGTCAGGGTGAGGGAGAGGTGGGAGTCACTACATGCTGGGAAGGCGGAGGCCCGCGGTGGTAAATGCACTTGTCCACAGTCCATGATGCAGCTCTGTATTGGGAAGGAAGTCTGCATATTTCCTCACTGCATAATTCCTCTTCTTCTGGCCCCTCTTCATCTCAAGCAGCTGTTTCCTTCCTGGGTCTGAAAAGCTAAAGTAATTTGGAAAGTCTTCATATTTCAGACAACAGCTTTGGAGTTATTAAATTGATAAAATCCCTCATGATAACAAATTACCTGGTGCCGCTTAAAATACAGCTGGAACTGAAGAACAGCTTTAACACTTAGCCCCGTCTTGTTTTAAAATATGTTTATCAGGCTTGCATCTCTCATTCCTGGAAAGATGCTTTGAGTAGATTTGGGAGGGATCCAAACTGCATTTTCCCTGAGCCTCATGGAGCAGGTTAAGCAGCTGGGTAGAAACCTTCCCAATGCTGGCTCGGGTCTCAGGCTCTGGTGGCTAGCAGGCTGCTCCTGCACCCACCAGAAGCTGGTTGCTGACAGGAGAAGGAAGGCTGATTTGCTTACAGAGAGAACAACTTTTTAGTTTCATGCTTTTCTGGTTAAAGGGGTGATGCCTTGGGGCTGAAGGAAGCAGCTGCTGTGCTGGGCACATTCCTGTGGTCCCTGTAACTTCTTCCCTTCCAACCTCACTGTTCCCTATCAGTGTCTGCTTTTTTGTCTTACAGTTTTGCTACCCCACTTACAAATCCACTCTTTTTTTTGCCCTTTGGAAGCAAACAATCTCAAACACTTTTCATGTGCCAGTGACCGATATTAATGTCCAAGTGCTGCTACCAGCAGCATTTTGCTGCTTGGCCATTTGCTTTGAAAAGAAAGGGTGCAGACCTGGGGGTGTTCATGCAGTTCAGGGAATATCTGGTGTGCTGGGAGAGGAACTGGTGTCCCCACTGCCCCTCTGGCATGCCCAGCCTTTAGCTTTGCCCTCTGAGCGTGGGCTGTGGGTGGATGCCAGAGTCCAAATGGGTGATGGTCTTGGAGCCTTGTGCAGCCCTCGGCTTTGGCACAAGGAGGGAGAACCTACAAAGGGAAGATGCTAAATTAAAGTATGTAGGAAACACAGTTGGGCTTGATTGGTGTTGGGGGCTTTTTTGGTGAGTTTATTTTTAAAATCAGTTTAGCTTGCAGCCAGGAGGCAATTACTGTAAGCTTAGGACATGGTTGTTATCTTTTTTTTTTTTTTTTTTTTTTTTATATAGAAAAAGATGAAAAAGCTGTAATTTGCTTTCTTCCCTAAGCAAGCCTCTGGCTGTTGAGCTGGCACAGGTCAGCCCACTGCAATCTTGGCAGTGTTTTCAGTGACAGCCGTTCAGGGAGGTTGCTTTCATTAAAGAGCAATATTATCTACATCAAGATACTTCTTTTTCACACTCTGCTGCTCGCTTGGAGCAGAGAGGATGCCTCCCTCTGCTTCTGTGAACCTCCATCTATGCTTTACCTCTGTAGCCAGTTTCCTGGAGTGTTGCTGCCATTGTGAGCTGGGATGTTTTGCTCTGGACCAGGAAATCTCTGTGTCACTGTAGCTGGCCGTGGGAGAGCAGCAGTTAAACATCATGTTCATTAGCTCGGGATAAACGTCTTGGTAGGAGGAAAAAAAAACCCTAGCCAAACCTGGAAGTATTTGCCCTAAACAGTACCAAATCCATTCCCAAGAGCACAATGTTGCTGGTTTGCAGTCCCTGTCTTGGCTGCCTTTTGGTCAAAGCTGCAGCTGGAAGCTGTTGTGCAGACATCACAGTCAAATGCCCGTGGCAAGGGCTGGTGGCTTGAGGGAACTTTTTGGGTGCCAGAAAATGCTGGCAACACTGCCAGTGTGTTGTGCAGGAGTGGGTGAGATGTTGAGAATGCACATGGCTGCTGGGTATTTTAATACACTAGAGCTGCATTCATCACCTTCCACCTCAGGAAGAAAGGATCCAAACACCTTTGAAGACCTTTTAAAGACCATTGTGGTGTGATGCCAATGCTGCCAATGTGGCAGCAGCTGGACATACTGATTAAAATGTTAAATATAGTTTCTCTGCAGCCCACACTTTATCCTGGGAGCTAACAGCTGGGATTCACCTCCCCATCTGTAACCAGCAGCAGCAGGAAAGGGAGTACTGCTGGCATTTCGCAAAGCAAACCTCTTCCTATCCTCAGCAAGGTGCAGGTGGGCTGGCACAAAGCAGTCCAGCTGTTTGATTATTTTTTAATATGAAATGTCCATGAACATAGATGTCGAGGAAGTTTTTTAAAGATTGGCCTCGCAAATTCTTTGTAACAGAGCAGTCAAAAGATGGCCATACGAAGCTCGGTACTCCCATCCTCGGCTAACAACAAAACCTTACTGTTGCAATTGGAATAGTCCGGCTCAAGTTTAGCTGTTTTACGTGCAGCTGTGTCTGCACCCGAGCTGGGTGCCCTGGGCCCCTCCCACAGCAGCAGGGAGGGATGATTTCGCTGCCCCTGCAGCTGTGGGGTTGCTGCAGCCACAGAACTGCCTGCAGCTGCTGGTGCTTCCTCACGCTGCCCACAAAAAGGTGTTTCAGGGAATCAACTCTGCCTTTCACCCACCGGCTGCAGCTGCCCCAGCCTGCCAACCACCCCTGGCAGCATGTGCCACCCCGGTCCCCATGTCCTGATTTTCAGCCGTGCTCATAGTTAATTTCTTCTCGGTAGCTGTTACAGTGCTGTGTTTTGGATTCAGAATCCGAGTGGTGTTGATTACACACTGATATTCTGTTTTTCTGGTAAGTCGTGTTTACCCTAAGTCAAGGACATTTTTCCACTGTCTCATGCTCTGCCAGTGAGATGGGATGTAGAAGAAATGGGGGAGGGGAGCACAGCTGGGACAGGTGACCCAGGCTCACCACGGATATTCCACACCACAGAATGCTCAGTATATAAATAGGAGGGACTTACCCATAACGGGGGACCGCTCTGGCTTCAGGAAGGGGAGTCTGCCATCAGTCAGAGGGTGGTGAGTACTTGTATTGTCCATCATTTGCTTTTCCCTTTTGATTATAATTTTTATAATGTTTTACCATTACTATTCTATTTTACTAATTTTCAGCTATTAAACTGTTCTTTCTCAACACAGAAGTTTTATTTTGATTCTTTTCCTCCTCATTTCCCTGGGGTGGGGAGAAAGAGAAGGGAGGTTGAGTGAGCAGGGGATCTCTAAAGGTGTGTGTGGCTTTCACCTCGTGTCTGCACAGGTCCCTGCTGGTACTGCCTGAGCTTACCGTGTATGAAATTTCCAACGACTCAAACTGATCATTCGGGACAAGCAGTACTGGAGCATGGACGAGCTTTTAATCTCATTTAATGGCATTTAGCACACAGAAACTTCTGCTCCTGCCTGTGGGACCCGCTCACCAAGCAGCATTTTAACCACTAATATTCAAGAACATCTGCATGAGCAGAGTTCAGTGTTGAGCAGAGACAGCAGCACATGGGAAGACAGACCAGCAGGGAATTGTTCATCACTGCTGCAAGTCCAGAGTTTAGATTAATCCGAATGTGGAGGCCAGGGAATCAGACCTGAACGCCTCCGAGCCTCCTCCTCTCTTCTGGCAGATGGAAATGCTGCCAACAGCACTTGCATAAGGGCCTCGTGCAGAACAAGTGCATCGGAGCTGGAGAGGTTTTACTGCTTATTAAGTGATGGTTCCAAATGAGGTTCTCCCAGATGCTCAATCTTCATCTCAGCCATGCATTAATTTAGACTAGTCCTGCAGTACCCTGGGTTACTGCAGAAGGTAGAATATGGGGCCCATAGGAGCATGCTTATCTTGCTGCTTGTCTGTACCATGGTTTGTACTGCAAGGTCCCATGGCTTAGCTGCAGGCTGGATGATGACCTGGCAAGGGCACCTAAAAACTCCCATCTTCATCTCTACCATGGCAGGAGCCAGCAGAGCCCTTGAGCGCACAGCACAGGTTCTGCTACCAGCACAGGAGAGAATCTTTCATGGTCTAGATCAGCATCTCTGTGGGCTCATTGTTCCCTTCTCTAATGCCACTTGGATTTTGTGGCAGCTTTTGAGGTGAAAAGTCCAATTGCACCCTAACATGCTAGAAAAACTTCAAAATCATGCAGGAAGCAGGTAAAAAAATAGTTCACAAGCTACCTGACTTCTGGACTCTCCACTAGTCCAAAGAACTTTTTTTTTTTTTTTTAATTTACTCTGATATAGCATTTCCTAGTTCCATTTTTGAAATTATGTTTCCTCACTGTCCTGCTCCTCATTCTTTATAACTGGTGCTACTCCACAGAAGGCTGCAAGCAAACCAGTACACCTTGGCATTCCTCAGCCTTTCTGCTTGCTTGCTGGTTGAAAACTCCACTGCTTCTTTTTTCTGTTTACTTCTAGCACTCCACACGTTTCTAATGATACCCATAAAAAAATCAGCCCTTTGCAAAGACCATAAACCCCATAAAAAACAGAGTGCTCTGCACATTTTCCATTACTCCAGAGCTTATTTACCCTGTCCAAAGACACTCTGCAGATCAATAAAATACCTTCTTTACTTACATGTTCAGGCATTTCATGCTGATTATGTCCCTCTCAACTGAAGACAAACTGTGAAGCAGCTCACATAAAACCAGAAATACAGATCCAAAACTTTCCCGCTAAACTAATCCTGCTGGGGCTCTCACTCAAGGTAACCATTTCCCTCTGAAATGTCACAGTGATTTTTATCTGTGGTAAGGAATGACACAACTACTTAATCAGGATTGCATGGCACCCCCCTGCATGGTTTTAGAGGACCATGTGGGGAGCAACACAAGAGAGAAGCTGACCTGGACTTGCTGGCTGCTTCAGCTGCTGAAACAGGACACGGATCCCACAGAGAAGCCCAGCTCATGAAAGGCAAGAGCTCTCATCCTACACATCCCTGAACACAAGTCCACAGAGGACTTGAGCAGTATGATAAGGACAGCAGTGTGAGCTGGCCCTGGCTACTGCCCGGGAGCACATCATGTTCCACAGCAAGACACAAAGGCTGACTTCCTCTGTTCCTCTCAGCATCCTCAGATGGCTCCTGCAACCATCTGCAGGCTGGGTCCTGCTGTAGAGCCCGAGGAGGCACGAGTCAGTGGCAGTATTTATGAAAGCACTCACCCTCCTGGAGTGTGATCTGCTCTTCAAAACTCTCAGCAGTCTCTCTCCTGGGAACTGGGCACTTAATGCCACAGGATGCTGAGCATCAGCCCAAAGTGTAGCTGTAGAGAGATACCTACACAAACAACTCTAGAAAAAATGAATCGACCAAAATTGTGTGACTTATAAGAGTTGTTTAAGAAACCTCTTAAAGCATTTGACCACTCCCCGAGCCTTTCATTGCTTCCAAGTTGACCAATAATGGAACGTTTTCTTCTCACACATATCTTTTGTGTCATTAGGGTGAGTAGAAATGATGCACACACCTGAAGGACATGAGAGAACGTGAAAGCTGAGCTATCAAACCTCACCTTCTGCTTCCTTCACAGGTATAATAATGAGGTTATCCTACTCTGTGTTCCTTGCTCTTTCTTTAACATAAAAGCTTTGAGAATATAATTAAATAGTCCCCTCCCTGCTTCCTCCTGAAAAGGATGTTGAAGGGACAACCCTTGCAGTGTGCATTTCAAAAACGGGGGAACAGAGACACAGACACATTTAGCAATCTTTCCCAAACCACAGAGGAACCCAGTGGCAAAGCCAGCAATAGAAACATGCTTTGAAAAAAACACTTCAGCCTTATGCCTAAATCACAACGTGTTCAGTCAATAATGTAGAACATTGTGTGGTACAAATTAAAATAATGCTTTTATTGGTCTGCTTAAACAGAACATAGGTATCAGCATAAAAACCAAACAGAAGATAAAACTATTCCTTGCTGTAACTAACAGACATTTTATTTTTTTCTCAGTAATCACATGGAGGGGACTGACATCTTCCCACTGACTTTATGGGTTTTTAACTGCATTGGTTTGTTCCCAGGGAGTCTAAGGATTGTGATGAGCACCATGGTTATGGCTGTTTGTCCTAAAGCCTTCTACCAAGAGGAGCATCATGTCCATTCCACAGAAACACTGCACAAAGGATTGTGCACATTTGCAGGCTTCCAGATGAAGCCCTGACAGATCTCAGCAGAACTGAGGGTATTAACCTGGTTACACCTGGTTAACCTGGAATGCAAACCCACGAAGTTATGGGTTCCTCTAAGACACATTTTTCATCAAAGTTATCAAGGCTTAGAAAAGCCATGAAGCTACCAAGAAAAAAACATAAGAGGAAATCTCAAAAGATTTCTAACGAAGTTAAATCTAATACCAGTTTATTCTATAAACTTTTCCTGTCAAAAGACAAAGCATATATAGAAACATACAAGAAATATTCCTTGGGGAAAAAAACTACAGAAAATTACAAAGTATCAGCTGCTTTAATTTATCTTTATAATTGAAGAATTGCACTGTGCTCAGTCCTGTCTGTAAACACCACAGTTCCCTCAGTGCAATCACTCTTACATCATAAATGTCTTTGTTAATCACTCTTTTCTTCTCCTTGGTAATGTCTGTATTCTGGCTTCAGCTCCCACGTGTTTTTGTGGGTCCCCTTCACATTGTAGATGCCTATTTCTCTCAAAATTTCTTTCAAGTATATCTGAAAGGAAACAAAAGTTCAAATTAAACAGGCAGGCAATTGCCACAGTTCCTACACACCTGCTCAATTGCAGGGACTCAGTTCCTAAGAGGCAGACAGCCTGGCTGGCTGCTGGGCACTAAACAGTGTGGGAAAGATTCTGGGATAGACTTCAACCCTCAGGAACCAGCAGGGATTACTGCAAGCCCCAGGGATGCAGCAGGGAGCACCTGAGCCCCAGGGGTGATGGTTCCCAGGCAGTCACTCTGAGAGGCAAGTACTCCAGAGGCTGCTGAAATTAAGTTACCAGCACCTCTTGGGAACTATTATCTCACACATCTTCCTCCTGCTGGAATTCCTCCAATTGAGCTAAAAGCTCTTGACCTTTCTTCCTGCTTGGGCTGGGATTATCTTGAAAATCTTTGCCTTATTCAGACTTTGTCAAAGCTTCAAGCTGATGGTTTTCACGTCATTTTGCAAAGCTTCAAGAATTTTATTATGGCCTCATTTTTAGAGGAGAGCTGAGTATATGTCTGAGAATTTTCAAATACCTTAAAATATTAAGGCTTGGAAGAAACAGAAAAAAACCCAAAACAAGTAGAGCTATTATAGTAGCTATATTATACTACTATTATAGTAGTATAATCTTTGACAAAACACAATTCACTGATATTGCCCCCCTTCACTCTTTATAATAAACACCAGTAATTTTCTTAAGAGTCACAAGAGCCTACTTGTTTGTTTAATTATTAATTGGGACTGAGATGAGTGGATTGTCATGGCAACCACAGACCACAGTTTAAGAATCCCCACATTAAATTCATAATTGCTCTAGTTTGAGCAATTTAATCCTGTTGGAGTGCTTATATTGAACTGGAGTTGTTGGAATGCTTGTATTTTCTGCATCTACAGTTCCACTACGCACAAATATCAACATACTCCAAGCCATTAAAACCAACAAATACATGTTGAAGACACAGGAAAATAAGAAAGGCAGATTGTCTATGACCTGTTCCTTACACTCTTCCCCCCTTTGCTAAATGGAAAAGCTAGGAAATAGACAAACAAAAAGTATGTTCTCAGTCAGTCAAAGAAGTGTCTTTTAGAGAAACTTAACCTTACTCTCTCTTTCCAGGTACACACCGAAAGTATGCAAAGCAGCCCAACACATAAGAAAGGTGACTGTCACAGATGTGCATATGAACCAGTTCCTTGGGGTGTTTTTAGGGTGTTTCCTTTGTGCAGAGCAGCTGGGCACAGGAGCAGGGAGTTCACTGTGCAGGGATGGCTCCTCAGCCTTGGGGGCTGCCCGATGCGAACCCCAGCAGGTGGCAGCAGGAGATCACCGACGTCCCCTCGCACTGCTCGGCTGTTGCAGAGATGCCGTCATGATTCCCGTCAGGAACCCGGGACACACACGCTTGCTATGACACCGATGCACCAGGAACGGTGTGAAAGGTGCTGGGAGCAGGTGAAACAGCCATTTCTGCATGGGTGTGTGCAGATGTGCGCACCTCTATATCCACTGCCTGCTTTGCAATCCCTGCACACGAGGCAGTGTCACCGACAGACACTTCAAAGCATGGCAGAGTGGGTGGGAGGAACACCTGGCTGCAAGGTTGAATTCTGCTCAGGATCACATGGACAGAGAACTGGAAGAAATCCCCCATAACTGCACTCAGTGCCATGAAGTATATTCATGTGCAGCTCCTGAACTGGCAGATCTAGTCTGCCTGGGAAGTTGGGTCACAAGGTGGGATGCTGCTGCTGGGCTCAGGCAGAGTGAAACCACTATGGCTGAACTTTCCAAACCACCCAAACCCACCCACCCGGGTATACAAAGGCTATTTTTAATTTCAACTACTTTTCAGACCTAATTACCCAGGCAGTTCTGCTTCTCTCAGGGCAAAACTTCCAAGAATGTCACGAAATGGAACAAAACCAACCCAAAGTGAATAGCAAGGTAACATTTGTGCCACAGATAATGGCACTTCCAGCTGGAGCCATGAACTGCAGCAGCTGAGGATTTGCTACATATTCCTATTTCCCATCTCTGCTGCAGGGGGCAACCAGGCAGCAGAGGTGTTAGGGAGGGCAGTTGAGAGCATTAACCCCAAAACATCTGTGCCCATCTGTGTGGGCACAGACAACACTGAACTGCTGGAGTTTTTAGACAATTATGAAACATAGATAATCCCACTGTGCTGTACTGTACCTGAGAGGAAGTGGCTTGAAGAGATGAGTTCAGGGGATGCTATGATTTTTCCTGCAGGATCAGTTTTCCTAGAAACCAGGACTCCCCACCTGGGTCTGCACTGCACCAGGCTGGCCTTGAAGCACACTGCACTGATACTGTACCATGGAGAGAAACCCCACACTACTCCAGTGATGCCAAACACTGAAATTTAGAGCCTGGTTATTGCTAATCAGGGGGTCACAATTTTTTCTCAGAAAAGGATCCAGTGTTTTTATGTACTTACAATTCTAGCACAGAAGCTCACCTGTAGGTGATCTGTTCATACATTTAAAGCATCCTTTGTCCTGTTCTACCTTTCCTCATTATTTTTTCCATATAAAGTGAAATGTTATCATGGAATTATGAGATAATAATTTCTGAGGAGTTAACTTACAAGCTCTGAAAATCCTTCTGAAACTTTGAGGGGGAAACAAACTCCATTGTATTTAGGATAACCATTACTTAAAGCTAAAATAGAAGAGAAAATGCAAACTATCTACTCAATTTTTGAAATATACAGTTCATCTTAGACCACTGGCTCCTTCCTGGTTCCACTCTTCACAAATATTTGATTCCTCACAGAAAGTTGTATTATGTTCTCAGCCATGAAGCCCAAGTCTGGAATTACTGCAATATTTCCAGGGAGCATTTAGTACTTACATCTGGGTAGGTGGCAAAAAATTTGCCTACTACTGCAAATTGTTATTTTGCATTAGAATGAAAAACAAATAAATCCAAGTTTCCCTAATAGAGCAGTAATTTACATTCAGAAAAGATTTGTTTTGTGATTTCATGACACAAATAAGGACAGCAGCAACTTCTTGTATAACATGCAACATATTCTGTAGCAAGGGTTTAATTTACTATTTACATTTACCATTATGTAAGAAAAATACCTTTATTTATTTGTAACTTCAAGTTCTCCAGTGGCTTAAGTGGGAGCTGTGGGTGACCACTGCAAGCTGATGTCATGGTAGATGAGATAAATCTGTACCAACTTGCATTCAAAGTGATCGAGACAGTGACTGCAACACTTCTCTTACCCAAAAAAAACCCACTTAAAATTTTCTTGCCACTTCCTCCATATCTTCCTCCTATTCATTCCTCCTTCTCAGCTCCCATGACCCACGCACCTTCTCTGCCACAGAGATAAGGAGCTGACTCATGAGATAAATGAATGGAAGACACAGATATGTTACCAAACTTTCAAGTTTCTTTCAAGGCACTAGACCACAGTGAACCTACATGGATTTGACTTGGGTAACATCGTAGTGCAGCTTCTAACCAAAAAGATTGTTCACTTATACAAATGCTCTGACAGAGATACACTTCATTCTAAATGTGAAGTGAGCAAAACTAGTAAGCATCTTCATTTCTGCCTTTTTTTTTTTTTACAGAGTATTTTTTCCATAATCCAGCTGTTACCGTTCTTTCTTCTGCTTTAGCTCTAATAACTTGTGACACTGTTGCTCCATTTAAACGCAAACATAATTAAGTCCCCTTAAGTCTTCTGAAATCTGCAGCTGGGTTGAGGATAATATTGAAGTTGGCAGTGAAAAACATCAAAAACACCAAAGGTCCTTTGCATGTCAATGTCTCCTTCCCACTCTTGTCTGGTCAGCTCAAGGAAAGCTTGAGCACAGAAAGAAGGGAAAGAACTGGAAAGTTATGGTTCATACATGAAGCGGCTGACAGACACTACAAGACAACAAAACCATCACATATGCAGATGTCTTGGTGCTTTTCTTGTCTGTGTATCAAAACACTTTAAAAGAAAACCCCAAATAAATCCTAAATATCAACCACCTAAATTCTTAACCTAAAAATTACCCTATTTGTAAAGGAAATCCAGTCATTTTGGAGGGATTGTCATGACGTCTGAGCTCCTAACATGGATAATCTCTGCATTTAATACAAATTCAATACAGAAAAAGAGCAACCCCTGTTGCTGTGCCAAAATACAGTTCAGAAGCTGAGGGAAGGACTGACCATAGACTAACACAAGCTCACTACTGCCAAGAGAACTAGGCTTCAGGAGGACAGGAGAAGCAGGGTAGACAGAATCTGGTTCCTAGTATTAAAGCAAACCTAAATAAAAAAGATACCATTTAGGTTATTTAAACCACCTCTCTCAAGAAAAAGCACACTCACTGCAATGTTTGGTGTCCTACACTGTCCTACAATGCTGAACTTAAATCTTGGTGATTTCAGTTTGTTGTAAAACGTATTTAGAGAGGAGTTTCTAAGGCATATAATATTTATTAAACTATTTCTGGATATGTAAAAGACACACAGTAGTAACTACTGAAAATGTTTGTATTTACAAGACTTGCAGTACGTACCACTGGCTGTTTGGTTATGTCCACCAGGTCTTTAATGTTGTAATACTGATGTTTCTCAAAGGCTGAAAAAAGCATGTCCAACACCTGCTGTTTATCAGCTCGAGCTCGTTTTCCATCTTCTTTCTTCTTCTTCTCATATTCAATCTGTTATAAAACATGTTTTAAAGAAATTCATATGTAATGCTGTGTAATTCTCAGTGCTGAACATTAAGCTACAAAAACCCCTTTTCTATTTAATCGAACACTGTACAATGACTCACTGCTTTGCATCTGGAAAGTTTTCTTTCGAACAATCAAATATTCTTTTATGAACATAAACTAAGCATTTTGTCCTCAGCACAATATGCTTCTCAGATGTGTGTATCTCCTTTAAACAGAAAAAAAGAAGCAGAAACAGAGCCTGCAGGTGCCCAAGCCTGGAAAAAGAATTAATAACAGTACAGGAATCCAAACTGAGATGGCATTCTTACTCCACTTCTGTTGGTATCAGCTTCTGAGGTACAATGACAAATGTCAAACAACCTCCCAACTGCCATTCTTGGGAAAATCCACAGACCAACATGGCTGTTCAATCACAACAAGCACTTGCCCAAAGGATGTTCCCAATGGCCCTAGGTCACTGCCTCATTTTCTCCAGAAAAGGAGCACTCAAGGCATCAACTCCATCAATACACAACCAATCTTCAAAGACACACTTTGAGGATCTGGACAGCTTCTCTTCAGGAAAACCAGAGTAGCACACATGAAGTTACACTTGTCCAAAAACCCCAAACTTTCTAAACAGGCAGAGGCCCCTTGTTGCCACGCATCATCCTACTTCAAACTGTACATTAAAAATTACTTAACCATTATAATCTGCACCAGATGACTATATATTTTCACAGAAACTTTTATCGCCTCCAAAAATACTTCCTCTGATTCATCATCAGAAGCACAGACCAGCACACCCCAAACAAACCCCAATCACCAGAGAGCACCAACCATGACACCTCCAGCACATCACCCCATCCACCCCCAATACCACCCTCAAACAGAAAATCAGCCAGCTCCTTGGAATCAACAAAAGTGATCCAGAAGGTAGTGTAAGTCATGTAATCATCAAGTGCTTTCAGGCAAACTGCGTGGGTGAATCCATAGCGGCACAATGTACAGCAGAAAAGATGCACGTGATCTATAAGGGACACATGCCTGGCTGTAAATGGGATAATTCTGTATGGGGTTGTTCTGTTTCTGATGGCTCAAATCGGATTCTCAAAAGGAGGATCTTCAGATGAAAAGCCTAGAAATGAAAATGCACAGATCTACTGGATACTAAAGATCTTATTTTTAAGAAGAAAGATTGGTTTTATCACACAATTTATTTTTTCCTATGTATCCTTGCCAGCTAACTCCCTCCTACTCTCAGAGTGAAAATAGCCTGCCTCTTGGTAGCTGTCCCAAAGTGGCTGAAGACTATTGCCACCTTTGCCACAGTTCCCAGGTCTCCAGCCAGCCAACTACCTCCTTCACATTCTGAAATGGATGTACATCATTAACTGGATGCAGAGCAATTGCTCCCAACCTGTAGCTTGAAGTCTCTTAATTCTGCTTTAAACCTAAAATGGGTGCGTGCAACCAAGTACTTGCCTGCTTTTCTAACTCCATGTAGTGTTATAAAGGCTACAATCTCACCACACAAACCCATCATGCAACGGATTTTTAACCAGTAACAAAGTTTAGTGCAATTATTTAACTCTTTAGCCACTGCATTGAAAGAATACATCTTCAAAACAGTAATATCTTTGCAACACAGCAAACGGTAACATCAAGCAAACCAGCTTGACAGTACATCATCTTGGTTGCCACGATCCACAGCAGAACTGCTGCACCACAGACACGAGAGGAGAAACATAAACCTATGACACTGGCCTTCCTTTAAACAATATCATATCAAAACATTTGTTTCTTCTGGAAGTCCAAGAGACAATTATTATAAAAATTCCATGAGAATATTCTAATATTCTTAATCCATTAATATATAAAATCAACTCACATAGAAAACTGAGTATCAAACCCTCTCTTTTTGAAAGGTTATGAGCAGCTGGTGCCCCATTGTCCACTCTCTAATTAGCAACACTCTAGCATTGCCCTCTAACTTCAGCAACAGTTTCCACTGTTATCTAAAAACAGAGAACATTGAGAAGCGCTTAAAAAAAAAAAGCCTGGTGTCTTCTGTTGATGATTTTTTCTTTTTGGTCTTGTGAATACACTGCTCACAGCAAGTTACAATGCAGCCTTTCACTCTTTTCCTCCCTGTTTTCTTTGCAAACAGGATCTTCTATGTAGTAGCCTTAAAGCACTTTTTAATAGTCATGTAATAGAATGCACCTACCCTGTAAATTCGATTTCTTTAAAGTTGTGTGGTTTTTTAATTTAAAAAACATTCAAATACTATTTGATTTCAAAGAAGGACCATTTTAGGACAAGCTGTTTAGCATAGAAGTTGTGAGTTTATCCCCAGAAAATTTTATACTGAAATCGATTTCTCTTTGTTTACCTTCCCAGGATGTTGCTAAGCTTGCTGAAAAGCTGCCAAAATTGCCTTCTTGAAAGCATCAATAATACTGAAGCTGATGTAACTGCTTAGGTAGACAGCAAATACAAAGGTGATCGAGAAGTTAGAATAAATCCAAAGTTTTATCTAAAGATGTTTTAAAGTGGTCCTAAAAGGTTTTCTTGTCTCCTGGAGTATGGGTACCAACATCTACAGTACAGGACATTGGGAAGAGAGGACCACAAAGAAACCACTAAAAGCATCCTCTGAAGGGGTAACCAGAACCATTGAGGAACTTTTCTGCTATATTATGAAAAATAATTATGTCAAAAGGTTCCAGCTGCAAGAATACTAACCTTGCAACTTTGTAAACACATTTAGTATTTACAGACATAATGAAGGTCTCTTCCACAAAGAAGAAAAGCTAAGTTACAGTCTTAGCCTATATTGTAATGGAATTGCAATTTATTCAACTAGAAATATAGGCTTAGTATAATTTCTTGCAAAAATAATCACTTTCCCAGTCCTTGAATTCAAACAAACTATTACTACTCCCCATCCATATGTAATTTATTTCCCTCCTCCTTCCTGTTGTATGTTCATTTATAGGTACATGAAGCAGCCACACTTAAGCCCCATTTTATATTCTTTCCTTCAAGAAATGTTAACCCTTTCTGTCTTACTTAGTAGACACTCATTCTTCCCTCAGAAACTGCCCAGATGATGACTGTATTAGCATATGTGTCAGTTTATACATTTTTATTTCTTTCTTGTTCAAGTCCTGTCCCCAACACAGCACCTATATGATTACATGAAATGCATCAGGTTCTAAGAAAGCAGTTGCTGCTTGAAAACAGCAGAAAAATTCAAGAGGTTTTAGAAGTTAAAGGACTTCCTCTCCCAATTATACATGCTTTCATCCATCTAAACCGAACCTTAATAAAAGACTTAATGAAAAGAAAAATTTTGTAGCAAGAGACAAGGCAAGGTCAAGGTGACTCAAGTACAATTATCTCTTACAAGATTTTTCCCATCAGAACATCTTTAAGGTAGACATGAAAACTAAACACACTGCTGATGGATTTCCATGACCATGGACAGCTATGCAACCAATAAAAACATTACAATTAGGACACAAGAGCATCATCACTTCAAACAGGCCTGATTATGTCCGGGTTATACCCCCTCAAACTTACATAAGATTTAAATGTCCATAATGATATTATGACCTGTTTGCAGCTGGAATAAAGACACAAAGATTATCTCCAGGTTGAAGTCATACTGCTGTAATTTATGCTGGTGTCAGGGAAATGAAACATCATCCCACTAAAAAGAGAAGCTGTACCTCACTAAAACTTATTCCAGAATTAAAGAAGGAGAACACCAGCAGCATCATAAAACAATATACTGATGTAAAACTGTATCTGCATAGTAGGATACATCAGTGTGACTGTTTTGGTTAAATGGCATTCCCTCAGCTGCAATAGTTATATTGGTATGATCATCCATGTACAGAGCAGGCTTTGAACAGTAACTACTACAAACCAGTCCCATGAGAGAGAAATTATTATTTCTGGTTCTGTGGCAATAGACTGACTTTCATAATAATGCTTAAATATCATCTAGTATATTGTCACTTGTTTTATGTAAATAAAATCTTAATAAAAAGTGTAAAAGTTTAAATGACTAACACAGTGATTCATTTTCAGTATGACTTAATGTTCCTTACATTCAACATACTCAAAGAGGATCTTTAAGGAAAAGGACGTTACAGTTTATATGTACACCAGCTGATCTGGAACAGCGGTGTGGGTGTAATATTGACAAAGCCAATGATGCCAATAACACGTACTGTGAAGGTATGAAACAGAAAAATTATCAGCTGTTACTCTTTTCTACTTGTTGCCAATTCCTCCAAAGGACTAGAAACTAATGATGCTTTTCAAGTCCTTTACCCTTCTGCAGATGATAAGTTATTTGGCTCAAAAGAGTGCTTCCACATCTCATAGCACAAAGCCAGAACTGTCTTTCATCCACAAACGTCGAAATTACATTAAAATAAAAAAAAAAGATTAGAGGAAGAATGTAATAAAGTCACTAGAAAGGGTAGAGTGAAGGTGGTCTGCCCACCATCAGATAATACAAGACAGTTAAAAGTGGCAGACCTTTGCCCCAAGGGTGATATTGGTCTTGAGACAGAAAGAAGATCCCCAGAAGACAAAATCAAAGAGAAACCAGATGACATAGAGCATTGCCAAAGACAGTGGCCAACTCTGAGCAAAAGAGCTGCTGGACAGCAGTAGAGCAGTCCAGGAGTCCTAAGCCAAATTCCTCTTGAGGAAAAGAAAGGGAAATACTAAAAGCTACTTACATTATACTGATGATTAGCCACTGGTTTATAGTTTGTGGTTACAGCTTTGTCCAGCTGCTGTGATAACCTTACAGGTTTAGAGGATTCTTCTATCTGTAATCTACAAAAAAGAAAACAAGAATAAAAAATTCAGACAAGCATACACTCAAAATTAATTCTAAAAACCTGCAATTATGAACGAGCTGTTATCAAAGGTCAGTTGCAAACAATCCATAAGGCAAAACAGGTGCACTCTTCTGGATTAATTCTTCCTACTGTATTTTTGCTTAAGGACATTGAACTATTAGGGTGCTCTATGCTACAGAAGATACTGAAATGCTGAAAATCAAATAACTGAAGAGGAGATAGTAAAAACAAAGTTTGGACACAAATTTCATTGCAAAAGCCTAATGCTCAGATTAAAAAAAAGCCCTTGCTCTTAAAAAAGATCAAACCCAACCCAAATGAATGCAAAATCTCACCGCTTACTCAGCTGAGGGATGAAAAAGCTTTTCATCCACCTCTGCTAACCCATGACCTTCTCTTAGATATTGAAATGTAAAGACATAAATTTCTGTGACCTTTCTTTTGGCACTACAGTACAGTAAGAGAATGCAAATAATGGTTTTAAGAGCATTATAAAGACATGAAGATAGAAAAATCCACCTAGCTTCAAATCAATGTGCAATCAAGTCTCTGTCACACAGATAACAATAGATGACCTTCAGTTCTCTTTGGGAAAGACTCTCAGAAGGTCAGAGGTTGAGGACATCTTGTCAGGCTCATCCCTATGTAATTTAAATCTTCTGTATGTTGATGTAGAGGGGTGTTCCATTTAATTCAGATTTAGAACTCAAGAATTTCTCCTTGAAATGAAGGCAAGAAACCAAGCTCTAGAAAAGCACAGGACAATGGTCCTTCAGACACAATGGCTTTATGGCACATCTAATTAACATGTTAATTATCGATGAAGCTGTTTCCAAAGCTGTATCTTGTAGGCAGAGGAGTCAATTTCCACTAAACGCAGTATAACATGACCCAATAAATGCACAGAGATGCCTGCTTCTTTCCAAACAAAAATTAATATGGTGACATTAATGGAAATAATAACTGCATGTTTACTAGTGTAAAATATAAAAATGATAAAACTGACAGTTCTTTAAAAACAACTGTAAATATTTGAGATCACAGATTTATTTTTGTAAAGATATCATTTACACCCAAAAAGATAAAATTTAAATTCAGTATGTTTCTGATTTAACACCTGAACAACCTAAATACATTTGAAGGAAGTATCCAATTAAGAAATAAATTCTCCAGTCGTAGCAACTTGACAAAAGAAAATCATCCTCATAGCTGGTATTGCTGGACAGTAGGTGGGGGTAGTTTCTTCTCATACATAGATCAACTTGCTTCCTCTCAAATCCTTGCAGACTTGTCATTTTTTCTGTAGTTTTAACTACTCTTAAGCAACCATTGCCTCATATTCTACATTTTTATATCTATGCTGCCTTCTGTCCAAATGTAGCATGTTTCTTTCCTAGCTTGAAGGAAGATCAATTGGAAGGTAAATGAACAGTGAACATTTTTTGCTTATCACAAGAATTTATCTTTTTGCCTTCAATCTAATTAAATGATTTTAAAGATTTTCTTGATCTGGTTACCAAAGATCTTCTAAACTCATGTTTCACCAAAGAGGCATAGGCCAAAACAAAAACACTATATTTTCTACAAAACAGTCTTTTTCTCTGCTTCTCCATTGCTTCATATTTTTCTTTTTGGTCTCAATGACCTTTTAAATTTTAAAATAGTTTGTCTTTAATTTTTACACAGTTTGGCTTTAATAGTTTAATTTTTTTTCCAATTCATCATGTTTCCCATTGGTTTGATATGGGGAGTTTTCCAGTCCTCTCTCTCCTATATTCTAGCTATTTTTCATTTCACTTCTCCTCCCATTTTTCCTTTTCATAAAGGAGATTTCCTGCTCAACCCGTTTACTGGTACTGCTCCTGTTCATGAGACAGGGTCTCCTTGAGATGAACTGCGAATTCTTGTCACTCTTTTCCCCTCCCCTTCATATGCAGCAGACTGAGTTTTTTGATTTGCAATGTTGCTCCAGAGTCCTTCTCATGATGGTTAGAGCACAGGGTCCTAACAATACTTAAATACATCCATGGTGTCACATATCCAGGGAGCACCAGGCATTCAACAGTGGCATTTCTTCATGATTCTTGCACTGGGCTTTATATTCATTACTCTTTATGATGTAAATTTACAATATCATCCATTTCTTCAGGTAAACAGCCAAAGAACATTAGCTCTTCAGTGATGAATTTTCAGCCATAGACTTTAGATACCACTCATGTTCAAGGCCTCTTCCTGATCCAGCAGTTTAAAATTGCAATAGAGGAAATTTCAATCCCCATTCAGTGCATCTTCCTTAAATTAATTCTTCTTTGTATGAAAGTACACCAGCACTTTATTTCTTAACATTTTTCGCTCACCATGCAGGATATGCATTTCAGCTCTTTCACGTTAACCTCCCAATTTCCAAACCAGTAGAAAACCAAACGTGCAAGACAGCTTCTCAGAGGCCTCCCTCCAAAGGTTGATGGAAGTGAATGTACATTTAACAAGTAAAGCTCTCCAGCACACAATCTTAAAAACAAAGAAAAACTTACTGCCTGCTCAGGAAACAGAACGAAAGCCAACCAAGTGAAAATGGAGAGGGACCATCTAAGTTAGTTTGTGAAATGGCAGAAGACTTCAGAAAGATCTATACATAGCAAGTAATAAATATATCAGCTACAAATGTATGTCTGAGAAATTTCAGAGATATTTGTGTTGTACTTCGATATTTCTTGCCAAAGGTTTCCAAATTACAACCGAAGATCTCACGGTCTTTAGAAATCTGGCTTACAGTAAAATGTTAACCCTTTTTTTGTTGTTGTTTCTACTGCTGTTGTGAGAGCTAAAAATACACTACATTCCTGATACTACTTTTTAATGAAACAATTACAGCAGTGGCCACATGCCAATATGGAAATTTATATGGGAACCATGGTGACTCAGAAGGCAAACATTTTTATTAATAGCTTTTATTCTACACATGCATCTTGCTCTTCTCCCTAATGGCTGACCTTCCCTTTTTTTTTTTCTGCATCTCTCACGATTTCACAGAGCCTCAGATTACCTTTCTTCCACTGGGCTTCCAGGTGGAATTCTGTCACACAATCCTACGTGGAATAATAGCTGATGCACATCTGGAGTTGGCCTTCCAAAAATGCACGAATAAAGGGACTGACAAACATGGTATAAAAACCGAATTAGTAAATGGTTCAGTGGGGATGAAGCACTGAAATTTGCTTAGCGCATTACAAAGGGTAAAGACAAGCAGCCCATAATCATTTTGTCCAGATGATTTGTTGATACAGACACTATCTGCAGGGAAAATACAGCATGGTTGCTTGGGTTTTTTCCAAAATCATGCTGCAACTCTGTTATATTCAGAAAGTAGTATGTCTAGGGGCATATAATTGACTTTTAAAATTCGCATAGTTGTTGTCTGAAAAATTTTGATGAATATATAAATTTATACATTCTAGTAATTATACACTCAACAATACATAACAAAAGCTATAAACTGAGAATTATACTAGCCTTTTAGTTAGATGTTTAACATGTTACAGATATAGTTACTTTTAAGTGCTCACTTCTTAAACAGAATTTAAATAGCAGTATTAATCAAGAATATCAGGCAGTGCTTTATGTAGAATTTTCTCAGAGTGGACCTGCTGAATCTTAATTGAAACTGCTGGTAGGAATAAAGAAAAAATCAATAGATATTCTGAGTCATTGGTGACACTGATTTAAAGGAGCAGTGGCTTTTTACCTATTACTCTTCATTATGATTTGCAGGAGTTAAGACAGTTATGGCTCTGAACAATATAAAAATTTTCAAGGAATTAAATTTTACACTGAACTCTTGTTGAAATAGCTAGAGCTATAATTAATGCTAATATCTGGCCTAAAAAATAAAGAGAAAATGCAGATTTTTTTTTTCTCCAAAACTGCCAATGAATTAGCAACAGAGCAGCCACCAGCCTACACAGTGGTTTTCCCTTCCACCACCAAGATCTAATGTAGCTCTTCCACCTTGAAATACAGCAAGTAACCAGCACGGCATCGAATTCATCATGGTCATTGCCCAGCAAAACACATTTCATACTGCAGCTTTGATTTGACACTGTGCTTATAGTTGAATAAGGGGAAAAAAACATTCAAACAGACTGGAAATAATTCCATAGTACTTGGCAACATGTAGCAAGCTCACACAAGGAGACAGATAAAGACAGTCCGTACATTCCTAGAGAGAGATATTGTTTTTTAAATACATGTAATTTTCAGCAACAAAAAATAAAATTAAGACCTTTAGAACTGATAATCTACTGTGATTAATCTTTTGTCATAAAACAAAGATTTGAAGCAGGCATTTATCAGAAACACTGCTAGAGCTTGAATTCTTTGCACTTCTAAAGAAATTATTTTACAGATGAGAGAGGAAAGTTTATATACTTTTTTGTGCTTGGCTATATGCACACAGGGCACCAGTAAGTAAGGAGTCAGCCTTATTATTGCAAAAAAGGAAAAGTTGTGTTTCTTTTCTCTCTGCAGTATCATCCAGCTGCACTGGAAGAGAGCAGGCCCACTGCCCAAAGCTTTGGAGGGGAAAAAACACAAACTCTGTATCTTTGCACAGTTTCGTAGCTTTTCTCTGACTGCTCACAGAAGCTCCCAGTCCACTCCGAGGGAACTGAAAGCCAAGGACTAATGCTCTCATTGTCCTTTACTCAGTAATTCTGTACTAGAACTAGGCTGGCATTACAAGAAGTTTCGTGATACCTGGTGTGGGTCACAAAGCTTTTTCTTTGCTTCCTTATTTTGCTAAGTATCCCAAACATGACAGAAATAGGTACATCCTGAAAATCTCATCCAAAACAAACCAATAAAATAAATGTAACAATATAGCCTCACACCTACTCCTCGTGCATTCATTTGGACTTCTGCACCTTGCTGAGGTTCAGATAGCACCTCTTTTGACTTTCCTTCAAGAAAGAACAG